TTATAACCTCTCCACCCCCCTTCTATATGAGCCCTTCCGCGTCGCCGCGGCAAACAAACTACAACAAAAGCTCGTAGGATTGGGACGTATAGATCTGTAAAACGGAGAGTGCCAAAAGGATCGGCGGCCACTTGCCAAAGAAGCAAACCGATTCTAACACAACGTTGCTGGATGACCACTATGTGGTCACGCTCTCCTGCTGAATCAGACACACAAAAATGACCCCCACACTCGATGTGTCAAAGAAAAATGTAAAAAAAAAAAAAAAGTTTATAAATAGAGGTCATAATTATTCCGTGCCCATTGTTAGTGCGAGTGAGACAGGTGCAATCCTCGGTACAATAGGCAGCGGACGTCTCTCTCTCTCTCACACTCACACTCTCACTCTCGCTCTCTCTCTGCTGTCTGCGCCCATTCCCGCCACCACATCAGCCAGCAGAGCACACCAACCAGTGACGAGCGGCGAGCGGATAACTTTTTTCGAGTCGCGGAACCAGAAAGTTGGGGCCAGAGCAGAGCGGGAGAGAGAGCGAAGGGATTTCACGGTGAAGAAGCGGCCCGGGAGGCTGGACTGGACCGCGGGAGCCGAGCCGGGCCGAGCTAGACTTTAACCGGGGCGCACGAACGCTGTCAGACTGGCCGTCACTGGGCCCCGCGGCCGGCGTCCACCAACCCCGTTACACCGACCGCGAAAGGAAGCCAAGCAGAGCCTTTTGTTCGACGTAGATCCGTTTTCAGTCCATTTTAGTTGGCCGCCCGCGCGCGCGCTCTTCCTCTGCCCGGGCTACGCGAAGCGGACACGGCGGACGAACGGACGGACGGACGAGGGAAAAAAAAGAATTAGGTTGTATGATCAGGAGGAGTTGGGGGCCGGGGGTGTGGGGGTAGGGGTGGCATCCCTATCCCCGACCCGCTCGCCCTTCTCCTTGCTGCTCTACCAAAGCGCGCGGTTTGTCCGTCCGGCTGCCCCGTCCCGTCCTTTTGCTGCTGCTCCTCCTCCTTCTCCTGCTCGCTGCTTCGGATCCAACCGCATACGCCCAAAACTTTTGTATCCCGCGCGCGTTTCCAGTAAAGCAGCAGCAGTGCGGTACAGTCGCGCGGTCGCACCGCGACGGCGACGACGCGCACGTGGGGGGAGAGGGACACGAGAGCTCTGAATGACCGCCTCCCAACCATTAACACATTCCCTTGCGGTGACCACTACGTGGTCGTATCATACGCACCAAACACCAACGACACTGTGTTGTAAACTCGAATTAAAATTTAAGTTGTGACAGCTAAAAATTTAGCTGTCTGACTAAAAATGTAAGTGCGTTGCTAAAAAATTAAGCAAACAAGTACCTAAACATACGTCGACGTCAGTTTTGGCTTCATAGCTATTATTTATTCCTCATTTAGCTATTGGTTTAGCTATGTAGGTAATAATTTTTGAGCGTGTGTACCGAGCTGTTACGTAGCAATGCAGCCTACGCCAGGTTTGGTATGCGACAGATGAAACGTTTCCTTTTTACGGACGTCTTCATTCATGGGTCTAGTTTTCCTTCTCCTTGCCTCTCGCTCTATCTCTCTCGCTCGCTCCCTCCAGTTTCCTCCCAAACCAGGACATCACGGGCCTAACGGACCCGCGGCACGCAATCTGCTCTTCGCTCTCGAAAATTATTATGCAACGGCCTCGCGCGACACAAATAATTTATCACACATTCTCTTTGCGGTTTTATTCCTTTTCTTTTTTTTCTCTTCCTTTTTTTCGGTATGGAGCGAAGCGAGCAGCGGCTGGAAGGGGGAGGGGAGGGGGAAGCCGCTCTACCTATACAGGTTCGCCCATTGCGTTAGTGCCGCTCGGGGGCGCCCCGCAAATCCGCGGTGGAGACGC